GGCGTGGGGAGGGTCCTGGCGGTGGGCTGAGCGGGGGGGAAATGCTGCTCGTCACAGCCCCGGGCTCTGCTTTCTAGCGGGGCTCGGCTCGTGGGAGATGCTCGCGGCAATTGGGAGCCCCCCGGGAATGCTGGTGTCGCGTCCATGGGCGGTCTGCGAGGGGCCGTGCAGGGGTGCAGAGCTGGGCTGCTGTTGTGCTGGGCGAGTTCTGGGTAGTTAGCTCTATTTAGGCGGAGTTTTCCTGCCCTCACGCTGGAGCAGGCACTAAGGAGGCATTAGGTAATGCCTGTGTCCACCCGACTGATGGGCAGGCTGAGGCCCAGGGTGCGCAGCGGCATCCTGGAGCTCCTGCAGCAGGTTGATGGCAGAAGCAGAGAACAAGGCATGGCCTTGTGGTGCTCTTTCCAAGTGCTCCTTTGCTGGCCTGGGCTGCTCTCTCCTGTCGTGAGGTAAAATCTCCTGCCAGCGCTGTGTCATGCCATCATTTTGCCCACTCCCCACATCATCCTGGCCACATAACCCTCCTTCTGGGAACCCCCCGATGATGTTAGAAATGCTTCACGCTAGCAGGGAAGAAGGTGGGGAAGCCTCCCCCGTCCCCAATTCTCCCTCCAGCTTTGAGAGCCGGATGGCTCCATGTGAAAGCGCTGTAGCGCCAGCATGATCTAATGCCCTGGCTGAGCTGCCCTCTCGCAGCTTCCAACTTCATCCAGGTCTGCCGGCCCACAGAGGCCCTGCCTCCTCTGTCCCCTGCTTCCGTGCGGTCCGTAGCAGGCAGCGGCACTGTGCCGTGCGTCTGCAGCCCGGACACCTCCCCGGCAGAGCAGATCTTACCCGGGAGAAGAGAGACACCTTTGTCTGGCTGAGGGATTTTTCCTCTGCATGAGCATCTCTTTCCTTTTAACTGTTTGACCACCGACTGTGGGAATAATCTGCTCTCCTACCTTCTAGCGGCTTCCATGAGGGAGCGGACCCAGAGGTGTGGGGAAAGCTGGGGGGGCCAGGAAGGTGCAAGAAAGCGCCTTCCCTGCTGGACTCGCCGTGCGAATCCTGCCCTGCCTCGTGTTGGGTTTTATGGTGCTGGATGGCAGGCCAGGCTGCTTGCCTTGGAGAAGGCAGCACGCACTGCTCGGGCTAAAGGGTGCCCTGGAAGCGAGCTGCCGTGTATTTATTTAGAGGAGAGATAGGGACGAGCGTGGGAAGGCAGGCCCTGCGGCGAGGCTGGTGTGTGGAGGGAGCTGGCCTTGCTGCCCCTGCCTGCTTGCCCGGGAGGGTGGTCAGCAATGGAAGCAGATGGAGGCAGGGGCAGCTCCTTCAGGAAGGATTTGTCCGAAGCAGGCCTGGCAAACAGCCGCTTGCAAATAAGTAGTAATTAAATCATGGAGGCCCTTTTGCACCCCTGCAGCCTCCTGGTCTCTAGCGTATGCAGCGTGTGCAGTTAAGTTTAAACCTCCACCTTCTATCTATAGCAGCATCTCAATTTCTATCTGCGTGCAACTGTGTCTTCCCTTTGACTGAATCCCTTTCAGCTCTTCCTTAGCACAATAACTTGGATCCCTCTGTAGCTGCTGCCCTCTCCAAAGCTCTCCACCAGGTTAACTGGTTCATTCCTGGTTCGGCTGCTGCTCACAGCCATGAGCGCTGAGGGATCCTGCGGCGGTGGCAGAGACCGCCCTGCGCCCTGAGGGTGCCGGGGAGCCCGGGTGCAGCAGCGAGGCGCGCGTGGTCCTGCATGGGCAGATGCAGCCTTCCTGCCATGCGCTGCAAGCTCCTGGCCCGGGGTAAACACGTGAATACAGCTCCAAAGCCTAAATCTGAGGGGTTGTAAGAGGGGGATCGTCACTGCTTTAAAATATTCCTTGTAGGAAATACTACTGTCGTAACAGACTGATAGCTTTATGAAAGCAGCATTGAGAGGGAGAAATGTTTTTAACACCCACAAGTGAATTCAATTGATATTAAGCTAATCAGTCATCTAAACTCTTATGCAAACATCAGTGTGCTTGCTATACAAATGCTGACTTCTGCATATGAGTCCTATAAACACCAAGCCTACAATCATCGGTTCTGGGTTGGTTAACCAGTTTTTCTTACCTAGTTTAATGGCTGTGAATGTATTTAATGTAACTTAACCTTGAGTCTGAACAAAATGTTGCATTGCTTATGTATTGCATTGCTTATGTACTGTGCTCCCAGACAAAGCAGTTTTGCTTTGAGGTTGCTTCAGGAGGAACAGCGTGGCAGGTTTGTTCCTTCCGAGTTGATCTCCATACCACAATTTCAAGCTCTGGCCTTGGGCTCCATCGGTTAAAGCATGAGAGGGAGCCGTTTTGGGACTGAAAGTAGTAGAAGTCTATGAGATCCTTCAGTAATGAGGTGTCCCACAGCTTCTGAAGCGCCTACCTAGGAACCTACCTGTGCTTCAAAATGCATAAACGTCTTAAAATAAAACTCACTTGAAGTTATTGCTTCAAACGTAGCCCTAACTGGTAGTTTGGCTGCGATCGCCCGCTGTTACTAGGTGGCAACAGCAGTGTGAGTTTGCTCACGCCATTACAGCAACAATGCGAGAGGCCGGAGCCAGCGGGCTGGGGACAGCCCCTCATGTTGCCAACGGCACTGTTGTTACTGCTTAATGGGTGGGACATGGTGAGGGACCTCCCTCGCACCCCTCCGTCACCCACCGTCACCCACTGTCACCCATCACCTTCACACGTCGCCCTCGGCCTGGCCTGCGGCAGCCGCTCGCCTTGGCACCCCTTCACCCTGGCTTCGGGTTTTCCACCTCATCTTGATTATCCCAGAGGAATTTGGGGTTACCCACGTCCCAGCGTTGCCCCCTGCCTTGCCGGGTAAATGTATCCATGTAAGAGCATCCACGCTAAGGGCTGCGGAGGAAACTCTCTGGCTGAGAATTCACGTTCTTAGCTGGAATTACTGTAATGCTGCAGAGCCTCTCGGGAGCTTCAGTGCCATCATATGGAAGCTTCCATATGGAAGTGCCACAGTATGGGAGCTTCCCACCATTTGCACAGTTCCCAGCACTGTCCCTAGGAGAGCCTGTGGGACTGCTTTGACCAAGCAGGCTCTTCAAGAGCTGTTGTAGTCTTAGCTGCTCACAGATGGATATGACCTGAACCATTGGTGCAGCTCGTGGTGGACATGCTTATGCCAAAAAGTCTAGTCTCATGTTGTTTTGGGGTGTTATTGACTCTAGTGATAATAGGATCCCCTGAAGATCAGGGACACTGTAGCATCTTCCTCTCCTCAGGAGTAACCACCAACTTACTTGTGGTGTCTCCTGACAAATGCAGATATCATGGCATGATGCCCAAGGTACCAGGCAGAAGAACAGCAGAAGTTTGGACGTGCTAGTGCCCCCAAGGCTGCAAAAGGGCCATCCTGTGGGCACTTTAGTCACTGGGAGGCTTCTAGGGTGTGTGGGTCCCAGGGTATACCCAACATATACCCATAGGTATATGTTGCTGTATATATGGGTTGTATTCTCAGTGAAAAGTCTGAAGCAGAACCACATGGAAGGCAAATATAATGGCAAAAAGAATGGAGGAAAAACTAATCCAAGTTTTTAGGCTTTTCTAAACAAGTTTGGTCTCTGCCTTGCATGTCTTAACCTGCTGCTGAGTAGCATGGATGAATTAAAGTTAGTATTTAAATCAAGGATCAGAAAGCCATGAGGGAGATAACTAGCTTAATCTGGCTCTGTGTTTGTATTTTTCTGTTGTTTTCTGAAGGACAAGTTGACTCCCCTGGATCAGTACATTGGGGTGTTCATTGCTAAGCAGAATGGTGCTGCACCGTGTTTCTGGTGTAACACACATTTATTTAGATTCCTCATGTTTATATTAATTAAAAGTGAATGACACACTTTATTAGATATTTCTTTATTATTTATTATAATTTTGATGAGCCTGTATTTCAGTGAAGAAATGAAAGGCAATTTAAAATGAAGAAAGCAAGCATTAATTTATTTTTTTTCTAGTTGGCTAAATAAAATTATGTAAAATGTATGTATCCTCACCAAAGAAGTTTATGAAAGCATTTTTTGTATTTACAATGAATTTAACAGTAATGACTATATTAGGAAAACAATTTTATTATAGTACATGTAAAATATATCAGCCATATGAATTAATTATTTCTGGCTTTTAAGAAATTAGAACTTGTAGAAATTATCCTCTCACACTTGATGTTTATTTGGATTGGAAAGGGAACCGGGCTCTCCTGCTTTAACTCTCAGTAATTTTCTGAACTTTGAATAAACTAATCAGCGAATTAATTCCTGTTCTTTCATAAAGATTCCTGAAGCC